TCTAGGGCGCAGCCTCTTTTGTTTTATTTGCTGCTGCTGTTTTATATTTATTTCTTTTTGCTTCTTTTGCTGCTTCGAATTTTAAACTCTCCTTTTATTTGCTGCTTCCACTCAACTCCGACGCAACAGGCAGCAGCAGCAGCAGCAGCAGCAGCAGCAATAGAAGCAGCAGCAGCAGCAGCAATAGGAGCAGCAGCAGCAGCAGCAATAGGAGCAGCAGCAGCAGCAGCAATAGAAGCAGCAGCAGCAGCAGCAGCAGCAATAGAAGCAGCAGCAGCAGCAGCAGCAGCAATAGGAGCAGCAGCAGCAGCAGCAATAGAAGCAGCAGCAGCAGCAATAGTAGCAGCAGCAGCAGCTGCGAAGGTAGCAGCTGCAGCAGAGCAACAGCAGCAGCAGAAGTAGCAGCAGGAGCTGCAGCAGAGCAGCAGCAGCAGCAAATGCAGCAGCAAGAGCTGCAGCGCAGCAATAGCAGCAGCAGCAAAACTTTCTGCAGATCCTTCAAGGGTTTATAAATGGGTGTTTAGGGCTAACAAGTGAGGCTTTAGGGTTTACAAATTAGGGTTTAGGGTTTACAAATTAGGGTTTAGGGTTTATAAATTAGGGTTTAGGGTTTAGAGGTGGGGGTTTTTAGTGTTTAGGGTTTGGGTCGCAGCCTGGCCCTCAACCCTAAAACCCTAAACCCCAAACCCTCTTAGCAAACCCTAATAAACCCTAAACCCTAATAAGCCCTAGGAAACCCTAAACCCTAAACCCTAGTCCCTTCATAAACCCTAAAAAGCCCTAATAAACCCTGAGAAGCCCTACGAAACCCTAAACCCTAATAAGCCCTAGGAAACCCTAAACCCTTATAAACTTTAATAAACCCTAGCAAACCCTAGTAAGGCCCAAGACACTCCACAAAACCCTAATAAGCTAAACCCTAAACCCTAATAAACCACAATAAACCCCACTTAACTCCAGTAAACCCTTATAAACCCTACTAAGCCTCCCTAAACCCTTCTAAACCCTAGTAAACCCTAATAAACCCTTGTAAACCCTAATAAACTCCAGTAAACCCTAATGAACACTTATAAACACTCATAAACCCCAGCAAACCCTAATAAACTAATAAACCCTAATAAACCCTAAGAAAACACAATAAACTCTTATAGACCCCAACAAACCCCAATAAACCCTACTAAACCCTACTAAACCCTAATAAACCCTAATAAACCCTAATAAACCCTAATAAACCCTAATAAACCCTAATAAACCCCAATAAGCCCTAATAAGCCCCACTAAACCCCAATAAAACCTTATAAACTCCAGTAAACCCTAATAAACCCTTATAAACCCTAATAAACCTTTATAAACCCTCATAAACCCTTATAAACCCTAATAAGCCTTTATAAACCCTAATAAACCCTAATAAACCCTAATAAACCCTTATAAACCCTCATAAACCCCAGCAAACTCTTAAACCCTAATAAACCCTCTTTTGAAGGCCGCGTAGGGCGAAAGCAGGAGTTGAAAAGAGAAATGAAATAAATTATAAAAATGAAAATAATTAAATTAGAAATATAAAAATGGTAAATGAGAAATATGAAAATAAATAAAGTTAGAAAAGTGGAAATAAATTAAATTATAAAAGTTTTAAAAGAATAAAAAGCGTCTAAGGAGAAGACAAAACAAATGAAGAGAGAAGATGCAAATGGGAAAAGGCCGGGGGTCCCAAACCCTAAATTAGGGTTTAGGGTTTAGGGTTTGGAAGAGGGGAGAAAGGGACCTGTTGAATCCCCCTTTCTGTAGAAGAAGGCAAAGCAACAAAAGAAGAAAGATGGAGACGACAAGAGGCGGGGCGTCCCAAACCCTAAACCCTAAATTAGGGTTTAGGGTTTAGGGTTTAGAAGACGGGGGAAAGGGGCCTGTTGAAGCCCCCTTTTCTGTTCTTGTATTGTCTGTACTTTCTTTTGGACCTTTTGCTAAGAAAAGATGGAGACAAGAGGCGGGGCGTCCCAAACCCTAAACCCTAAATTAGGGTTTAGGGTTTAGAAGACGGGGGAAAGGGGCCTGTTGAAACCTCCTTTTCTGTTCATGTATTGTCTGTACTTTCTTTTGGACCTTTTGCTAACTCCCGAAAGGTCTGAAGAAAGATGAACTTTATTTTTGGAAGTTGAGAAGTTGCTGAAGCCCATTAGCTGCTGCAGCAGCTGCTCCTCGTCGCCCTCTGCTGCTGCTGCTGCTGCTGCTGCTGCTGCTGCTGCTGCGCCCGGCTCCTCGCTGCTGCTGCTGCTGCTGCTCCGCCGCCGCCGCTGCTGCTGCTCCCCCCGCTCCCAGCTCCGCGAACGCCGACGAGCAGCAAACCTGCTGCTGCTGCTGCTGCTGCTGCTGCTGCTGCTGCTGCTGCTCGCGTACTTCCCGTTGCTGCCGTACTTGCTGCTGCTGCTGCTGCTGCTGCTGTACTTTGCTGCTGCTGCTCCTTCGTACCGCCGCGAGCTGCGGCTCCTCTCTTCTCCCGGGC